GCAATCGGCGTTCGGTATAAGGTAATCAATATACAACAGTCGTTGTACCAAATCAGACAAATGCAGTTTTTTCTCTGTTATTTCATGATGCTCCCAATGCGTCAAGTTACAAGGTTCATTTGAGCATTCTGTTGTAGGCAGTTCTAAACGTGCCCATGTTACACTGGACACTCCGATACGTATTGAAACACAGGAACGTATTTCTGAACGATGTTCAGCATCAACTACTGGTGTGATGAAGCCTGCGGTACGTTGCCGCGCTGAGCGTGAGGCTATTTAGTTTATAAGTTTTAGAAGTAAACCTATTGGGACAGAATATAAAAAGTGTTTGCTAACCTCCACTCTCGTCACATTTACCCTCAAGCATACTTCTATAGAATTTTTCCACAATCTTCGTTCCAAAACCTTCAATCAAAAGTATGTCTTCTATATTCTTCAGAGGTCCATGGCGTTTTTTCCATGTAGCCAATTTGGCGGCACGTGTTTTAGCAATGTCATAACTGAAATCGGCAAGTTTAACTAATTATTTATTTGGAATTATACATATTAGTTTACTTTAAAATCTCTTGATTATCATTATTCACAATGGCCAAAATTTTCCTTTGCTGCTCCAATGTGTAACTTGGAAACCCCGTTTTGCCGGTTGATTGCTGTAACACAACGTCAACCTGTGCTTCTGTTTTGAATGCGGAGGTTGTTGAAATTGTTGCCAAATACAATTGTGGCTTAGCAACATTTCGTATGGATTGACTAACCAATTGCAAAAAATTAAATTTCATCATTTTTCGCTAAAAATTACAAATCACAATAGTAATAATAATAATTACGAAAGAGGTAAAATCGTAAAGAAGAAAAATCAGCTGTTCAATAGATAAGCAGAAACAGTGTTGCTTCTTTCGATAAATACCTTTATTTTAACTGGTTCAATCGCCCTTAATTGTACGATATTTAAGTGAACATAAAATTGTTAAAGGTGAAATTAGTCAAGAACGCAGAACTTATACTTAAGTGCTGTCTGTATACGCAGAATTTTGTCGATTACTGGAGCCCTCTGTGTTGCTTACTACAGTGTTGTCACTCATCAATTTCATAAACTTACCTTTTCAACTACAATTTTTCGTGCTACAATAGATGCTATTAAACATAAACTAACTATTTTTTAAACTTATTTTGAATAGGAGCTTATAACTTGTTTACCATCTACAAAATTGACGAAGTAGCGACATTCTATATAAGAAAGAAATCAGCTGACACGGAAAAATCTAAATTCCGCAGATTTCTGCGCCACAGAAAAATTTTGGGTTGTTTTGATTAACATGGCACCCTGGTAAGGCAGACTCGGGTTTACGTACCGGTAAATGAATTACTTTGTATACATTTACAGCAAAAATTTACCATTCTGCTACTAAAAGGAGTAATAGTATACAAAATAGTCCATTTCGCTCGTAAAACGAACACATAGTAAATTGTATTCACAAGCCATCCCTCTTTTGATCAGTGATTCGGTCTCAGCCGGCTGGTCAATGGGAATTTAAGCTCGTTCAATTCTAGTATAACAAAGTTTCAAATGGCTAAAAATTACCCTTGATTTTTTAGAATTTTCATTGCATTAGCTTTCATATAGCGAATGAACATTATTTATTTTTATATAGATAAAACAACGCAACAACTTAGGAAAAAATCCGAAAACGGAAATTTTTAGCCATTTGAAACTTGCACTTTATTATTCTAGAATTGAGTGGGCTTCAAAACTACATACTCAAAATATTTATAGAAACTCCAATTAAAAAGCTCAAAATTTTTACGAAAGTTTGTTAAATTTTTTTTAATATTGCACGAAGTCTGAAACTTGGTTTTATACGGTTTTTAATAAGGAATAAACTATATTTTTATAAAAAAAAGAACTCAAATTAAATAACAAAAAAATAATAATAATTGGTGAGAGAAAGTTTTTTCGACCATTGTATGTATCTAAATATTTTCTACATAAATATTTCTTATTCTTAATTTGTTAACTACCTTAATAAAAGTTTTTTTTTTTTTTTTTTTGTAAGTAAGGAGATATCTATGGGTGGGAATTTTTACGATATTTCGTTCAAAAAGAGGGAATTCTCAAAAATGAGTTGGCTACCCTGGATCATATGATCCTCTGCGCAGTGTTGCCACAAAAATATTACCAAATTCCTCAAAAACAAATGAAAATTCCTCAAAATCCGAACAAATGACTCAAAATTTTCTTATTACAGATATGAGTATTGTGTACTTTATACTATTTACAGGTACTTAGTAAAAAATTAGTTACATTCTACAATTCAATTGGTATATTTGTTCTTGCGGTTCAAACAAAGTATCGCCGCAAAGTTTTACCTGGCATCAGCTTAAAAATCGTCAAAGTCAAACCGTTCGTTTTCCCCCTACATCCCATTTCCCTGAAAAGCATCTACACTGCAGTGAACACAACCAAAACAGATGTTTTATTTCACGGTGCAGCGAACACTCTTCTATTCTATCATTCTTGGTTTTATTTTATTTCACACCAGTGTTGCCGTTTCATTTTTTTAAACATAGATTTAAAATTTTCCCGATTACCTCTTGTTTCAAATCATGATGGAGAGATATACATACTCCGTTTATGCGGCAAAATTTATGAATTCTTCTTTTCATGAATTTAAAAATGGAAAACGGAATGAAGCGTTTTAAAAAAGTAACAGCGTGCTAGCGAGAAACTAAACAGTAGGGTTGTGATATTTTTTCCCTCCTTTTGAATGTGCAAAAGCCGTTGGTACCAGGAAATGGTCCATGTTATATTAAAACTGGGTTTAATGCATTTAAGATTCTTCTATTTGCACTTATTTTATATTTGAACAAATCTACGTATCATTTCTAGTGTTTTAAATCATGGTTATGCCACCACATATCCTTAGTTAAGTAGCACTTCACGAGGTCATGAAATGATGCCGAAATTCATGGTTAACTTTCGTGTATAATTGAATTCGTGAAATTGTGTTTATGCAGGTTTGTGATAATTTCAGAGAGATTTCAGAGAAAAAATAGTGTAAAATATCAGCCTCATCATTCATTATCCCTAAACCGGCTCGCTTTTCACTTTTAGTTTCTATGTATTTACTATAGGCGGATGAAAAATTTTCGGGTGAATTTTTTTTTGGGCGAAACTCAGGATTAGGCAGTATGTCTTGTGGTTTTTTGGAAGTAAATTTTTACAAGAAAAAGAGGCAATGGAGATGCAGCATTTCCTCTTATAAATAAAAAGGAGTCAAGCTCTGCCCGGAATTACAGCGAACGGTGGTAAAAGCCCAGCAATTGATCCTATCAAATTGTGCCTTGACAGACGGCAGGAATGCGGATTTACCTGCCGCGTGGTCGCAGGTTCGGGTCCTGCGGCTAATACAATATTCATTTAGCTTTTTTATTTTTATTCATCAAATTATAAATTTTATATTTTTTAAAGTGGTTTTAGTTAGTTGTCTTTGACTTTTTTAGTAAAATTTAGCTCTAGAAACTTAAATTAACTATTAACCAAATAAAGTAAAATTAAGTAAATTAATCAAATACAATTTAAAAAAATTTAAGTAACAATAAAAACAAATTTTTTTTGGCTATCGCTCCAACCGAGGATCGAACCTGGGACCTACAGGCTTGTTATGCGCAGCCCTCACCACTCGGCTACCGCGGATGAAGTAGTTGGCAGCTTTGTTTGTGTATTTGTTTGCTCATAGAGCGTAGAACACGAAGAAAATTCAAAACTAGCATGGACATCCACCTTGTCGTCGGTTATGCATTCACCGTATTAATTCAAATAAGTCCTTAAGAGCGAAATACACCACACAAGCGGTTTGACAAACCAAGCGAAATTTCCCTTTGCTTCAAGCCATTTGTGCTGTGTATGGGGGTGTTTGAAGGTTTGACGGCGGTTTGTCAAACCTTCAAACACCCCCATACACAGCACAAATGGCTTGAAGCAAAGGGAAATTTCGCTTGGTTTGTCAAACCGCTTGTGTGGTGTATTTCGCTCTTAACTCAATTTCAATTGGATTCCTATTTGATTTAGTATGGTGACTACATTACCGATGAAAAGGTATATGTCCATGCTAGTTTTGCCCTTTCACTGTATATTACGCTCTCTGAGTTTCGGTCAGTATTGTCATCCAATATTCCCGTGATCCGAGTTAAGTTTGGGAATTAGCTCTAGGACTTCTTCTGGATCAACTGCAGTTAATTCCCGAGATAACTCCGAATTAACGAGTTGATCCGGATCAACGCTGCCATCTGTTTATACTAGCGGCAGATAACTGAAAATTTTATATCAATAATTGCATTAAAAACTATATTTCTTGACGGCATTTGATTAAAAAGGAAAATTATTTCACATAATCAAATCACATCAGTTGGAACAGCTGACGAACAACGCACGCGAAAAGTTTAGAGTTGGCCATCTTTCTGTTTTGCTTTTGCATTGGCTTTACCCAACTATGGTTTTGTGGAGATTTTGATATAAATGCATGTATTTATAGTCAGCTGTCGAAGCGACGCTAATGCAAACGCAACGCTAAATTTGTATGTAAAAGTACCATTCCATATGCCTTTGTGAGTTTTAATTTTGACAGCGGTTAACCATCGATCGCGTTGCAATTATGGGTAGAGCTTCAGATGTATCCCAATCATAGAGTTACAAAATCTTAATATTCGAAAAATCCTCTCGGTTTTGAATGTTGCAGTTATTCAAAATTTTCATGAGTTTCCTTTTCCCCAAACCGGTTCACTTTTAACTTTTGGTTTCCATGTATTTTCTACGGATGGATGAAGAGCTTCAAAGTGAATTTTTTTCCGGTGGAACTCAGGAAATGGAATGTAGAAAATACAGTTTTTTCCAGAGAATTCCTTTTTTTGAAAATAAAATATGGCAACACTGTTCACCAATGGAACGCGAAAAAGCGCAACAACAAACAGCAAAAGTCAATTTAGTGGCTTGAATAAATCGAATGCAGAAAGGTGGCGATGACGGTTGAAATCTAGGATTGCTAGGAAAAGTGATAACATTGTGGTCGAAAAAAAAAAATTAATTACATATGCAATATGAACTAAAACATACAAATGTATGTATAAACAATAAATCGAGAAATTCGTGCACTATTTAGAGAAGGGCTAATCAAGACTATAGTTTGTAGCCGCTATAACAACAACAAGACTAGATTGTTACATGGGAGCAGATTACTTTAGCGAGGAATTTATCTACACATCCTTCAGGCAGCTGCAGTCGTTTTTGTCGTTGCGTGAGCATTGTAAAAAGGTTAAAGATGATCAGCCAGGAGAAATATGTAATGCATACTATGTGCTAATTGTTTAAAAGCGTGTAATTTTGGGTGAAAAGCGCAGAAAGTATGCTTATACATAAAAGTGAATGCAAGTGAATAACAACGGGAGTTTGTGTTTTGAGTGCAGATGCAAGTATGTATATGTATGTGTATATTGGTAAACAGTGCAATTTCTGCATGCAATCGCTTTGAGGTAATTGCTACATTACAAAATCAGCTAAGGAAAGAATTGTAGCATACAAGAAAATCTAACGCTGCGGCATCACTTAAATTGGCAAAAAATGCCTTTTCTGGTCTTGTAAATACATACATATCTCGCTGGCTTACAGTGAAAAGTTGATAATTCCACTTTTTATGAGAACTCATATATTGATACAGGAGGCTAGAGGAATTAAGAGTACCTCTTAGTAGGAGGCCCAACTATTTCGGGCTATTCCCTCCAAAGGGGTCCCCTATCCAAAAAAAAATTCCATTTCCACACGCTTGTAGTCAAGGGTGTACACATTTTAACACCTACTTTTATAATTTTAAGCCACTAATTTATTTGTAAAATTCGGATTTAAATATGCCCTTTTATGTAAAATTCATTAATCACTCCCATTCTCCTTAAAGTAGCCACATCATCAATATATTTTTATATTCGCTTTCAATTTACACTTTATTATATTAGTTATAACTTTTGTTATTCCTTTTATTTTAATCAATTAAAGCGAACACTTTGAAAATCACGCTTGTGTCTTTCGGTTGCATATGCAAATTAAATGTCGGAGTTCAGCTGTGAAACTCCCAAAATATGCAAGAAGGATGAGAGACAAAAGAAAATAAGATATAAACCAGTAAACATTAAAAATAAAAACCTTTTTATGGAATATATGTATTCACTTACTACGTTTACACGCAAGCTATTTGCAAATAAAAATAATTTGCAAATACCTAACTCACTGTTTATTCGATGGTGAACAATTCTTTTTTAATATTACCTGATTATAAAAAGGCAATAATATGGCCATCGAAAAGGAAAATAAAGTTAAAAATGGCAACGTCTTGATTACAAAAAGGCAATAAGATGACCATCGAAAAAGAAAATAAACCTAAGATGGCGGCGTCTTGCGCTTATTTGCAAATAGTACCACTAAGTAATACTTATTTGCGTGATTTAGTTATTTGCAAATAAAAAAATTAAATCGGCGTTTAAACGGCAAAGTTTACCAATTTGCAAATTGTTATTTGCAAATAATGCGTGCGTATAAACGTAGTAATAGTCGCCGTGGCTTCTTTGAGGAGTTAGGTATGGTTATATTTCTAAGTATAACGGTGCATTTCAATTTGTACGCGAAACTTTGACGAATTACTTCATTTCGGTTTCTGAATTCTACTCAGTGAGGGCAAATACCGTAAATCCATAAGAAGAGACAACACGTAAATGTAACGAGTGGGAACATCAGGAGCGTGCTTTCTCTTTTGCCCAAATGCGTTTTGTGATTGGATGAAATGAGAAGGCACGCTCCTGATGTTCACACTCGCTAAAATTATAACGTGTTGTCTCCTCTTATAGATTTACATTCTTTGGTGAGGGTTATAATCCCTAAGTACGGCCGAAGGCCGCCTCCGCAGAAAAGTGTTCTCTGCAAAAGGTGTTCAGTCCCCCTTCTTCGCCAACACAGAAAGGAGAATTCTTCTTAGTGAGGATTATAATCCTTAAGTGCGGCCGAAGGCCTCCTACACAGACAGGTGTTCTCTTCAAAAGGTGTTCAGCCTCCCTTCTTCGGAAACACAGAATGGAGAATTCTACTTAGTGAGGATTGTAATCCCTAATTCCGGCCGAAGGTCTCCTACACAGAAAGGTGTTCTCTGCAAAAATCGCCCGATAACCAACTTGGGATACATTATTCCTTTTATTCAAAAATCCCATGGTTTCTGTTAGTTGGGTTATATTTACCATCAAACTGCTCAGTTTGCCTCGGTAAATTCCGTTTTCCCCCATTTTCAAACGATTCCCTAGGGGTTTAGGGGTAGTTCTGAAGGGGGAGGGCGACTTTTTTTAAAGTGGGACTGTCCCCTTTCTAATGGAAGGGGTTTAGAGCCCACACCTCCTCCCCATCCGCCATCCAACCCCAAAACGGTCGGCCAATAACTAAACATTTCCCAAAATTAAAAATACATCGCTTCGAAAAGGAAAAGGTCATTGTTCTGTTTTCTCTTTTATAATCAATGAATAGCATATTTGCTAAGCCCAAAAGAAGCTCCCAAAATTCGATACAGCCAAAATAGTAAAATTCCTCTGATTCGTATAGAGTTTTGCGTTAATTTAAACAGGCAAATTGTTGTATTCAAAGTTTTGTGAAATACTTGAAGAAAATATCTATACGAAGTTTTTTTCCTCTCCTGTAAAATTTTTAAATTGGGACTTAGAAACTTTTCACTCTAACCTAGAGATATACATACCTATTTAAGATATTCGCATGATTCAATAATAAGCATTTAGCTGCTGCTGCTCAGTGAAAAGAAAGTGAATTTTAATTTTTTTTTTTTAACTTGCTTCTATTGTTGTGCACGAATTGTGACAAAAGAAAACAAGCGAAATAAAGACTGCCGTGAAGAGCAAAACAAAAGTCATCAAATATATAAGCAACGTCAGGGCCGTCTCGTGCAGTACAAATGAATAGGCCACGGCAGGCGCGGCGCTGAAGTGAATTGTGCTCATCAACAAACTTGTATTTCAAAGCGAGTGTGTATACGCCAGCGAAGTCTGCGAATGTGTTTTACATATATGTACATACTAGACTCCTGCGCAATTCCATTTAAACGGCCCAACAAGACATCCGATCGCCGCGCAAATACTTTCCATCCCCTACTTTCATCGTTCGGGTCAATTGTGAGTAAGCATAAACCAGTTTCAGCAAGCGTACGTAAACTACCGATCAATAGCAACACGCGTAGAGTATTTACTTTGCCTTCCGCAACTACTGCGAGTAAAAGGTATTTGACAGTAGAGTACTCTACTGGTAGTACTTGAGTATNAAGTGTTTATTTTTGACAACTTTGCGCAAAAATTGAGTGCAATGTAAAAATTGACATGATTTCGTTCTATAAATAACACCAATTGATAGTAGGCATTTCATATTAAATAGCCGCGAAATTTATGGAATGCAATCCAACGCACTTACGAAATTTTGTTTCACTTTATGTACATAAGTATGTACTTACATACATATGTATTTGCTCAACGAAGTATCAAGTCCTCAACATCGAATGCACTCCTCGCATTGAAGTTTATAATCGAGTAAAATGAATGCGACCGTGAATCGCAACTCAGTTCCATCAAGCGATCGGCTGCAGTGGTCATTCTATCAAAACAACAACAATAATAAGCCGACATACTACTACTTCCCCCAAGTAGCCAAACACAAGGCAGACGCAATGCGGTCACGAATTGACGGCGAGAACGAAAGTCATGGTATAGAAGAAGAGAAAGCTACAGATCTAAGCCGCGTCGAGGACCCCCACACAACTAATAGCACGCCAACTCGTGCGTCTGCACTTTTCTTCGATGAACACAGTATACTGCTGGAAAACACTTCCCGAATAGGCGCTATCTCATTTCCACTAAACTCGTTCCATAAAAGTAACAGCTACAGCGGTATCATGCGTCCTAAAGCGACTGTGCTCAGGCAGGATAGCCTGAATGGCCGCATCGCCACCAGCCTTACGGACGATGGGATAACGAGTAGCACTTACAGAAGCGCACTTTACGCGGCTGCGTCATCCAACAATGATCTAGTATCCAACACGCTCAACAACTACGATGATGATGCCGTCGTTGATTTTCATGATGAACATGATCTACTTATGCCGTCAGCAACTAATGCTGCTGGCAGTGCCGGTATCGGTGGTAGCAATGGCAATGCATCCAGCTTACGGCGTAATACACGTGGCGCGATCAAAGCGCGCAATACGGCTTGCAATCGCTTAAGTCACAACCGTAAATGTTTATTTGGGCTAGCTTTGTTGCTGGTTGCTATTACGGCGTTTATGTTTTTCGCTTATCTAACGCGCGACTATACAAAGCAATTTTTACTGTGGATCGAAATGCAAAATCCATGGATTATAGTGGCTATACTGATAGCTTTATTTGTGGTAGTTAGCTTTCCGATAGTGGTGGGATATTTCTTGCTAATGCTCACTTCTGGCTACTTGTTCGGCGCTTTGAGAGGCGTACTCATTGTCGTGGTTGGTGCGAATGTAGGGGTTGCCGTCGCTCATTGGACAATACGGAGTTTTCGCCATCGTATACCAATTCATAAGTGAGTATTAATAGCCAACAGTTAATTCATTTACTTATCTACTATAATAAGTTTTCTATAGCCCTTTAACCATGCAGCGACGTTATCGCTCTTGCCCATACATATGTACTTAAGCATGTCCTTAAATATGTTATAAATACATAATATTGTAATAGCTCTTTATGGAAGTATATAATTTATCTAAAAGATCAAATGAACATGGTATCATGTCAGCTAAGCCCTGGCATGCGTGATGTGGTAGATGGTTGCCTTTACTGCTATCGTGGCCTTTAATCATAGCCATTTCTTGGTTTATATCGGCAACATCCCAACAAGGAATTTTAACGCCTTTATTACTAAAAAAATAATTAATAATACATGTATTGGTTTTTTTGTCTGAACATATATATCCATACAAGCATGTATCGATGTAAGTTATTAAATAGTTTATTAGCTCGCGTAATTAGTGGTCTACGTGTATACATAGGTATTTCAGCGGCTAAGAATAAATGAATTAAAAAGAAAAAATCTACCGAAAACATGCAGCTGTAAAGGATTCGCAACGTGCTATTCATCGATGGAGGTAACGATTCGAGTTAATACACCGATAAGGGCTGTCTTATTAGCAATATTTCCCAGCAATAATGAAATAAAAGCTAAGATGTATTGTGGAAGCATTTTCCGTCAACCCTTGTCAAATTTCGTTGGGAGACAAACCAGTTTCGAAAGTTGTGCCATCTTTACTGTAATTTTTTGTTCGAGAACGATACTGAAGATGGCACAACGCCGAAACCGGTCTGTCTCCAAACCAAATTTGACTAGGGATGACGAAAACTCGTTTCATAATACATCACGCCCCTTCCCTGTCGGAACACACAAAAAAAAAATAATAATAATAATAGAAACTAACGGAGGAATAGATGACCGATATTGTTGAACCAAACGTACCTCCTATCTTCTTTGTAAGGAGTTTTGGAATGTCGTATAACACCAGACGGTAGAATATATTTGCAGAGGGTTAGAGCCACCTGCGACTCTGGTCTTATTCCACTAAAGCAAAACATTTTTTGTCCTTCTTAACTTTAAACACTTTGTAAAATCACCTACTGCAATATACTGCTGGAAACCATTTTTTCTCAGACATATTTACGATGCACAAATGTCGCGCTATACATGCGGTATACCGCTCCATTTTCATGTATGCAACTTGTAACTTGTTTCATGTGCAATAAGTGTCGCAACTACCCTCGCCTCCCCTTTTACTATGCACCGATTAACGAACCACGCACGCAACTTGTTTACCATAATCATTTGTCTACCGAACAGTTTTATTGTTATGTCTGTCTATCAAAAGCAATCAACAAGAAATTAAATGAAATAAATAACGTTCACTCTCATACATACTGACAAACGCATAAAGACATGTGTACCTGATGGGTAAGAATTGACACCCATCATGTGCACAATTGAAATTGACCGCCCCTATTGTGCTAGCGAATGGATGATATAATATGCATAGAATTTCCTTATTGTAGAAATTATCAATTATTCTATTTAGACTATTCTAATTTATTTTGTTACTCACTGCAGGTCAAGTGCTTGAATTAACTAGTGACCTAGTTACAAACGAAGTGATTGCATACCTCGCTCAATAAGCTCTTGTTTGAACTAGTCATCGGTGCATTTAATAAATATGTATAATAGAGTCCGATCGATGAATCGGACGATGGCGAGACTAGTATCGGCCAAAAGAATTGGAACCGACCGTTTTTTCCCGATTCTTGAATGAGGTATTGTTATTTAGTTATTTCATTATGTTTTTCTTTTGTTATTGTACACATTTATAAAAGCATTTGTTCTTAAAATGAAATTATATTCAGGCAAAGAATCGGCCGATTAAATCCTGAATTAAATTCATTTCAAGAACAAATGCTTTTTGTGTTTATAACAATACCTCATTCAAGAATCGGCCAAAAACGGCCTATACTAGCCCCGGCATTACCTGATAAATCGGTCGGACTCGAGTGTAAAATTATGTAAAGTCAAAATAGTTCAGTAACCTCTGTTATATCGCATACTGCAGCCGATTATGCTTTCGTGACCGTTCACATAACAAAACAAATACACAGTTTATCAAGGTAGAATGTATCAAACCAGCTACTCCATAGAACGTGTGTTCTATTTGGCAACTGATGGTAGCCAGAATTTAAGGCATCCCATAAAAATGATTTATTAAAATATCATTACTTGCAATCTAAGCTCTTCTAAATGGGTATTATTTGTAATAAATTAACTTTGAAGCTCTTTATACCCAGGCAGGTAATACGCCTACGTTTCATTTTATTATCAGCAGCGGCTTCCCTTTATGGTGCTCGTATGTCTTCATTTATAAACATATATACAGATTTATTTAACCAATATTTTTCATTTAAGAATTAGCTGCCTGGTATCAACTGCTCTACGTTTGATAAAGCGGTTCTACTGATACATAGCCTACTATGCTCATTTTTGAGCGCACAGTAGTTGTTGCTGGGTTTCTTGTCAGTCAAATTTTTTATTATTCTGTTGTAAACTTGATAAGAATAAAAACGAATTTGTAAAATTATCAAACTACTCTCTACCTACCACTAGCATTTTAGGTATATCTATTATTATAGTGAATGCAATATTGTCAGCACTTTGTTATCATCTCGATAGCCACTGAATGAATCATGTTGAACACTCCTAGCGTATATCCTCAATGGAAATTTCGTGCGATTGCTTTTGTTTTAAGCAGTACCTAGACCATCCTAGTTTGTTAATGGAATACATTCAGGCAATACAAGCATTTCACCGAAAAGAACAATAAACGGCGTAGCCAAACTTTAATCAATAATTTTGTTTGTCAAAGAGCGCTATTTAAAAGAGGATAACTATCCCAATTTTAACTGATAGCTTGGTTCTGATAGCCGTTTGAAACAAGCCCATTCCGTGAATAAGCTGTTTCCAATAAACTATTGTTCGTAGCATATAACTGTAGGTGCTCCCTTCTAAAAAAAAGGAACAGCTCTGCTTAAATTTCCCTAGGTTTTTATATGCAAGTACAGATCGTCATTCTGCAAAATCGCGTAACTGACATTTGCAGCCAAAAATTTGGTTTGCTCACACAAGCTCTTGGCTCAATCCTTATTCATTCGTCCTGAAATATATTAGCCAGAACTGCGATTGCTTTATAAAAAAGAAAATCATTTTGAAATGAGTGTTTTTACTCTCTAGAAAATAATTTATGCAACCTCACATACGCTGGTTTGTATTATCGTGATACGCGGTTTTGTATTTTAAACGACGATATATGTATGTATGTACATATTTCTGCTAACTAAAGCTTCAATTTATGGCTTTATATTTAAAATTCTCAAACTAATTATATCGGTGTTCGTATGGAATAGTAGCTTATATCGGCAAGCTGGCTTTAGTGTAATGCGGCATTCCCTTCATTCTTTAAACGACAAACAATTTTTTGATGAGACTTAATAAGAATATTGACTTGCTAGTATCGGAACTATTAATGCACGTTTATTTGCCAAAAGTTTTTCAACGGCTCGGCGCCAGTGACCCATTCGCAATCGTGTGCTGCAAATGCCGCATTATACTAAAGCCAGCCTTTCGACATAAGCTACTGTTCCATACGAACACAGATATGTAAGGTGACCAGAATATTTTAACATTCCTGGAGGACAAATTCTCGATATTGAAAACACAAAAAATTTTTAATTTATTTATTTGAACACATAAATAACGAATAAGTTTACAATTCAAAGCTTCGTTAAACACAAGTCAAACAAGTTAATAGTACACTGCGTTGCATAATTATAAGACCGCGCAAGTTTTGACTATTTTTTATAAATTATTTAATTCTAATCGTATAACTTGCAAAAGAAATTGCTTTTGTTCTTAGTCTTTCGTCAAAGTTCGAATTTAATTTTGTATCAACGCTATACCTCGTTCAGCAATTTCATTAACATATTTAATACTCTTAATCGTCTTTAAGACAACGAACTTTAGGGTAATTTTTTAGAGAATTTAATGCCCTACAAAAATATATCTAGAAAAAACTTTTGTCCCTTTTATGGTTCAAAAGTTATAAAATTTGTAATGAAAACAAATTTTTTTACATGTTATTTACATAGAAGATTTCAAATGCCCACCGACACCTATTAAAATTTAAATACAAATTTTTTTGCGAGTATTTCCTTCTCAGCAAATAGGTCATTTTAAGGCAATAAATTCGCTAGGTTAGTTATATATATATATGTAATACAAGTGGCAAATTTCCCGCAAAACACCCCCCAAAAAAAGTCTGGATCCGCCGCTGGGCCTGTGCTATTTTGGATTATGTACTTGGATGTGAAATAACACATTTTTAAAAATTGTTCAAGCATTGTTGCGCCCCAATTCAACGAACATTCTTGCTTTAAGCCATCTTATAAATGCTTTTATCAAGATGAAAAATTTCCACACACAAATATTGCCACTGATAAAACTTATACATATCTGGCAAACAAAATGACATATGGTGGGCAATAATTTTCGCCTGTGAAGACGCGTCGTTAGATAGTCTTTCAGTGTTGTGAAGGGTAATATTGCTTTCCTACGGCAACGTGAATTACTTTGTTTGCTCCTGCAACTACGTTCGCGAATCACCCCTTTCCCACGGGCGCATTCTTAATTCGATTTGACAGTTCTCTATATCTGTGTTTTTTTTTCTTCGTTACAAAATTCATGCAAAATATAAGTAATTGTTTAATAATTTATAAATTTCCATATTAAATTGGTAATGTACACATGTATCAACTTTACTTTTCGTACTCAGAAAAAGTGGCAGTTTTGATTTGTGAACTGGTTTCCATAAATTTCCGATAAAAAATAAATGAGGTAATTCGTCCTCAAAATTTAATATGGCGAATTACTTAATTAGAAGGGTAATTGGTGTGCGAATTACGAATGTGAGAGCGAACTACGTTCTTTGGGTGGCGTGGGAAAGCCGTATTATTGATTAAGGCTAAAAGTCGAGTACATTCTTCAACTTTTATAGGCGGTTAGTTGCATCAAAAGTTTACATCATTTAACTGAAAGCTGAACAATGTAAACTCCTTTTAAATACAACGATTGTGTGCGATTAGAAAATATTAATATTCTGAACGAAATTTTTTGAAAATTTCATCACTGCTATAAAACAGGAAAAGGAAGAGGACAAATCACGTTTGAGGATTACAATTCTCCTCAAAGGAGGACGGTTGGTCAGCTTAATTATATGTCCTTCAACAATTCATACAGACACTTCAGTTGATAAACCCATTAGTTCATCCATTATAGAAGCTGCTACCGTTTTTCGCACGTTCCGTTGAATAATATGTATTTAGTTTATACATATACATACATATACTTTTATTATTTTTAGTCATAGCTTACTCAGGTTTGCTATGCTTATCTCTATATTCTCTTCACTTAATCACAATGACATGTTTGTGAACACTTAACACTAGACTTAACAGTATTTGTGTAAAATTCTAAAAAGGCACGCGATCTATATTTATGAACTTAGCACCTAAAGCCGTCGTTGTTAGTGGAAAGTTAAGGCTTGGCAAAATAGTGAACAAAATTCTTTTTTATGGAAAATGTGTCCGAAATGCGTATACATTATACATACATATATTTTAGTTTATGTGCTTCATTAGTACGTAATAAAGGTGCTAAATACTTTTTAACTGCTTGCTCAAACGATCAGTTAGAAAGAAAGAGTTATCTTTCAGGATTGATAATTAGTTTGTTAGCCTTAAGATGTATTGACCCAACTACTTTTATATAGTGAATCTCTTGATTTCGTATTTTTTATTAGTTGGAACAAACAAAACGAATTTAAATAAAGACGGAAAAACAGCATGAAAAGCGAAACTGAAGATTGCACAACCTATCCATCTCCAGAGACTGAGTGTCATAGTCTTCTAAATGCTGGAAACACGCAGACCGCTTTTTTCTGCATTTATTCCTAATTTGACTCAATTTGTAGGCAACCGGTGTGTTCCATATCTTATCCACGAACAATCAGAGCCAATCCTTTTCCAATGGTCTCTTCAATAAAAATGTTCATGTAAGTACTTACTTGCTTTCATTTATATTCTTTGTGCAATCAATTAAAAATCAATGTGTATGTGTCTTTCATATTGTTTGAATACACTTGAGCTAAGGTCTACGACTTCCCAAGTACCGGCACACAGTGTGCTTTTTAAACACTTCATGGAAATTAATCGTAGCGCTTTCGACAGAAGCAATATTTTGATATGAAACCAAATGGTTTTGATTGCTAATGTTATTTCCTTTCACGGAAAAATACTGGCATTAACCCACTCTTACTCCTTGACATAAAAAAAAATTTTCAAAAATTAGTGCTTTAAAAAAAACATGCAAAATCCACCGGATTTGTTAACGCAGAAAAAAATTTCCAAAAAATTATAAAATTCATAGATATCTGCGCACCATACGTACAACATATGTACATATGTATATTTCACCCCCAAGCAGCTAATAAAATTTAAGTATTGTCTGTGACCTTCATTCAGGTTACGCAAGTATATACATACATACTTATTTACAAGTAGGCATATATGTATATATGTATGTGGATACGTAGATTTGGTTGGACGCAGACATTACTCGTTTCCTTACAGACCATTTTCTTTTAAATTATTCAGCTTTTTTCTTAATAATGTCTACAAACTGACGCGTATTGGGGCGTATCTTGCCTGAAATTCATAATAAAAAGCACGAAAGGTGAAATAAAACTAGAATAAGCAAATGTGTGCTAGCGGTTTCTTTTTTTTTCGCCAAAATAGCCCCTTTTTTATTGTTTGTTTAATTTGATATTTTTAGCTATGTTTGTTTATACAAGTTTTGTGATTCAAAAATTTAAATATACATACATATGTATATCTGTGGAATTTTATTAAAACAACTTAAGTGAGTAGGAGGTTTGAAGTTGGACTGAAATGGAATAAGTTTCCCTCCAAAAATTTAAAATTTTTATAAAATTTCTATTAAAAGGGCATCTTAAACTACACCTATGGCTAGCTAATTGTTAAAATATTGTTTGGGAACCCTATGAAATGTTGATTTAAAGATAAAATTGTCTAACTCGAGATAAGTTGTTTTACCAAAATGCCACAGATATATCTGCATATATCCCAATACATGTAGTTATTGTTTCAACACACATACTAATTTTAATTATATGTATATTTTTTTTTTTTCAATTTCAGACTAATTAAAAACGAGACTGGTCGATCTATATTGCGCGTTATATCGGGGCCTAAAGCATTCAAAGTAGTGTTATTCACACGCTTAACGCCCATTCCATTTGGCTTGCAAAACACAATATTTGCGGTAAGTTGTGAGTAAATATGTTTTTATTTTTATCCATTTAAAAGTGCATCCCCTTCATACATACAAACTCATTCATAAGTATTCATAATTATACATACTTTTATTTCCATTTTTAACTCATCCCACCAACATTTAAATGCTCCTTGGTAGTTGGGAATCTATTCTGCTTATCCAACATCTGTAATTTTGTGTAATTCCCATGCTGATATTTGCACATCGATGATGGTCTGCAAAAACGACACAATTCAAAATTTAAAAAATATAAACTATTACTATGTAGTTGAAAGCTAGCTTCTAAGCACGGTTGCGCACATTTGGCAATACAATCTGCTGATGTTTAGAAATAAAATGGACTGATGCTTTGTAGTTTGACGTTTTGGAATGCATCCTGTTCAAGAACAAAAGCTGGACTTTGTATTTATATCTATTGAATAGTATTATTACCTTTATCATTTAAGTTCAGCAGTGGCATGATTTATGTTTTTAACACGAAAAATGGTTTGGCCTTCACGGACTACTTGTAAAACTTTCCTCGTAAAAGTTCTGTAAGGTATTTTAATTTTTAATTTTCTATTTTTTTATTTTTTTATTAATTTAAAATATGCCAATGCAGATATGAGTTACCGGGTATTGTAAAATTGTAAAAGTAAAACACCATTTTGTGGATTAAGTATATGTATTTTTAATCTAAAAATAAGCTATTTAGCCCACTGTTTAACGATATTTCTTTTCTGATGTTAGACATTGTTACTAACTTATTTCACATTTAAAGCGCAGACTTAACGAAACGAAACATTTTGCAAGGAACCATTAGTTTACATACATACGTATGCATACCATGTAAAGAAAAAATTTAAATTACTCGAATTAAAGCAGAACATAGATTTAGGTCCGCCCCAATATCCTTGCAGACGACAATTTAAACCAGTTATTATGATATGTCTACCTTATTTACTCAAATACGTATTTAAATATTAACGAAATTTCTAAACGAAATCAATTGCTACATGCAGTACAATACAGACAATTTAGCAAACACTTCATTCGCAATAGTCATCTGATTGTCGTACAAATATAATTAGTATGTACACATGTCATAAATTGTTATTGAACTAACGATTATTACATTAAATTACAAGTACAATATTTACTACAATTAAATTGCAGTTAGATACGCAAACCGTTAGTAATCTATAACGACTGCGATACGTATGTATGTATGTATGTAGTACGAATATTTGATTTGAGTTGTTGAAACTCGTTTTACCTGTGTGAAACTTTGGATTGTTGCTATGCCTAAAATTGCTAAGAAAAAAATATAAAAATTAATAGCTGCGCTTAAATGCACAAACAATTAAAAAAATGAAGTTTGCCAATTCTGGCTCGTGTTTGCGTTGTGTGTTTATTACTTAACGAATTCTACTACACGACTAGTAAGCGTAACTACTTCATATTATAAAATTTATCTATGCAATTTAACGTTCACATCCAATGTGGCAAGCGGTTACTTTATAAGCCGATAACAACTTAAAAAATCGATATATATTTTTAAGCAGGCGCAAAATACCCGCACAACCTTTCTCGCACAAGTTGTGATTTTATTGTTAAAATAAAATTTGTAAGGAAGCGTGTGCAATATGTACGTGATATATGTAAGTATGTCTGTACATTAGGGTGCATCACTAAAAAAAGTTGCGGTTTTCCACCGGAATTATACAATTTATTATATTTCAAGACTTTCGCCCAAAATATTTCAGAAAAATATTAACATTACGTGAGCTAGACCGATTTGAAAATACCTCCAAAAATGTAATTACTTGCATTCCATTGAAGAATTCTGAACACCCAAAGTATTTTTCTTTATGTCAATCACGAAAATTAATTTGTTGAAATTTTTCAATAGAATATCGCTGTATTGTACAAATCTTTTGACTACAAAAAACAAAATTGTTCCATTTTTTTACCAATAGCCCAATATGAAAATGTACAAATCTGTACAAATGTACCAATCGAGTGACACTAACTTAAAAAATTATGCAATTAAAAAAAAATAATAAAATCAAAAAATTTTCGTTAAAATTTCGAGTTTTATAATTAAATTCTGAGTATGCAGTTTTGTGGCGCATTGAATTCTAGTAGAATATAGTACAAGTTTTAAATGGCTAAAAATTTCGATTGATTTTTTAGAATTTTTAAAAAGNTAACTTAAAAAATTATGCAATTAAAAAAAAATAATAAAATCAAAAAATTTTCGTTAAAATTTCGAGTTTTATAATTAAATTCTGAGTATGCAGTTTTGTGGCGCATTGAATTCTAGTAGAATATAGTACAAGTTTTAAATGGCTAAAAATTTCGATTGATTTTTTAGAATTTTTAAAAAGTTCGAAAATTGCACGAAAATTTGTTGAATTTTTTTTTTAATATTACACAAATTTGGAAACTTGGATTACGCGGGTTTTGTTAAAGAATGAAATAAATTTTTTATAAAAAAAATAACAAAAGTTCAATAACAACAAAAATAATACATACGTTAAAACTTGGCAAAAAGTAGATCGGCTATAATTTTTTTACCTTTGCACATTAGGTCTAATGATTACTTTTTCTGTGCGAAATTAATAGCAGCTAAAATATTGCACTATTTTAATGCAAAAATTATGCCAACCGTTAAAAAATTGTAAAGTCAGTAAATAAAATGTGAAAACATGACTTTAAATTAAAAAAAAATTTACTACATGTCTCGCAGATATGCCTTGAGGAGAAATGCATAAGGCAGTTAGTCTTCATAAAACACTTCATTTTCACTTAAGGTTTCAGTATTCCCCAATTCTCCACCGATATTATTTATACAGTACAGCGAAATTTCTTTACTACTTCAATGAGGAAGGAATCCGAATTCCTATGAAACCAAATAATAGAGGAGCACTTACCACGTAAAAATTACTGCAAGTGAAATTTTTTCCGAATGGTATCTAATTATCTATACTGTATATATATGAACACAAACTTATATGCATAATACGCGAAAACTTTTTGAAGTGAAACAACACTTAGAAATCGACCAATCCAAGAATAAAAGTAAAGGTAAGTACGTACATACATAGATAAAGAAAAGGATGAAGGCAAAGGTAAAAATAAAAGCAAAAACAAAGTTGCGTAAAAATAAAGGCAAAAATGAAGACCAAGGTAAATTCAAACACTTTGCTTATATAAGGGCAAAGGTGAAGGGGAATGTGTATATGAAGATTATGATAAACATAAAAATAAAAACAAAGATAAATATAAAGAAAAAGATGAGGATGAGAATACCGATAAAAGTATAGATGAAGATAGAGGAAGAAAGATTAAAATAAAGGTAGTTGTAGAGAAAAGGATATATAGAGGCACAGAGACTTAAGAGATTTTCGGGATCCTCGGGACTTATCGTTATAATAATCAATACTTTGTCGGTTTTGTTATCGATATTGCTATTGATTTTGCTATCGATATTTTCGAAACTTATCGATATTTTTATCGATTTTGTTATCGATATTTTTTATCGACTTTGATATCGATATTTTTACTGACTTCGTTATCGATTTTGTAATCGACTTTATTATCGATTTTGTTATCTGAATTTTTATCGATTTGTTATCGATATTGTTACTGATTTTGCTATCGATATTTTCGGAACTTTTCGATATAATGGTCAATATTTTTATCGATATTGTTTTATCGATTTTGTTATCGGTTGTTTTATTGATTTTTGTTATCGATTTTTTTATCGCTTTTATTATCAATTTTGCTATAGATTTTGTTATCGATATTATTATGTATTGTTTTTACTATCGATATATTAATCGACTTTGTTGTCGATATTTTCATCGGTTTAGTCATCAATATTTTGGTCGGTTCTTTTACCGGTTTTTTTTATCGATTTTTCTATCGATATTGTTATCGCTTTTGTTATCGATATTTTTATCGACTTTGTTATACATTTTTTGATAGATTTTATAATCGATTTAGTTATCGATTTTCGATTTCAGTTATCGATATCAGTGTATCTCCGATACAGCCTGCAGACCAAGACGAAGGTGCTGGACTGTTCCTTTTATTTAGTTTTATCATATCGTCGTTTAAAGTACAAAACCGCGTATCAACAAAATGCAAAACCCGCGTATGTTAGGTTGCATAAATTATTTTCTAGAGAGTAAAAACACTNTGTATTTCTGATTTCAGTTTAATTTCTTATTTTTATTCATTTGTGTAGTAAGCCTTTTACGACATCGGAAAGAATTTGAATTTTTATTACTTTGTCGTAAACAACATTTGCATACTAATTGCCTGTGCGACGAGATGACGGCTGATTGATTGTACCGTGCGTGTGTGTGTGTGTGTTTATTGGGATATAAGTTAATCATGTTGGCCTTTTTCTACTTGTCACATGTCTTCCCCACCATCAGCAAACATCTTTTCTCATTTTAACACATTTTTTTTTTGGTTTTGATAAAAATGTCACTTTCATTCGTTCTTTTATCTCCTTGTCTTTGCCATCTTATAATTATATATTCTCCCTTGTCTATGTCGACAAACATATTTATTTTCATTTAGGTCAGTGCCATTAATCCGCGCGTCTATCACACAGCCTCGCTATTAGGACTGATGCCAGCGCAAATGATCAATGCGTACTTGGGGTCGACGCTGCGTTCCATGCAGGAAGTGCTTAGCAGTCATGGTGGAGCGGCGGTGTCGGGGTACATTAGTTTCGGACTCGAGGTAAGTCAGTAGAAAAAAATTAAAAATTTGTTTAGGGATTTTGGTTTCAATATATGTATATGGGCAAATCTAAAAAACAGGTAACCTTTGTGTTATTTAGCTTTATTTTCACTGTTGTAAACTATATAAAGCTGGTTACTTTTGGATATAATTCATTGACGTATACCTGAAGCCTCAAAAACAAAAAAATGCGGATCAATGTGCTGCATAACTTTCGAATTATAGGTGTTGAAATTTAAAAAAAAATAATGAAAACGAGTGAATTTTTTATGCAATTTTTAAGAGGGGCACAATTAATTATATTATAACTATTGAAGCAAGCCATATTCTGATTTGAAATTTAATGGGCATTAAACACCTATGTGCACACTTTATATGGAGTAGGTAAGAAAAGTGTGCATCAAAAAATAACGAAATGGCAATTAGCTTAAAGTCTGTAACTACACATTTCACAATTTTACCTTTTGATTTATTAAGAGATTACGAATAAAATGATATATAAAACAAAGGTGTGCTCACAAATTTAAAAATTAAAATTTTTCTTGGAAAGTGTACCTATTTTTTAGATTTGTCCATATATGTACATATGTATTTTAGTTTTTTTACCCAAACTATTTCACTGCTAAGCTCAAAAGACCCTTAAATCCAAAACTACAAATAAACATACATAGTATGTATTTACAAATTTATTTGCATGCGCCCTCCACACCCACTAGGCAGATTAACAGACTTTTGTAGATTTATTGACCGAAAAGAAAATAAACCCATACAAACAGCTGGCTCAACATTGTTTACTTTCTGATTTTTTTTTAAATTTTTTTTTCGCAAAGCTGCCAAGTATTTATTTGTTAAGCCATAAATCAAAGGCGTTTAATGTCTGTTTATCCCGCTGACAGCAGCCAGTTGTGCATGCATTCATACTCTGTAAAGGTAGTGCAATAGCATTTAAATTGCAAAATATATGAAACAAATATATTTCGCTGGAAAAGAATTTTCTTAGAACAATTTCACTTTCCCAAATTAGCGATTTTCTTGCACCCATTAGCGATACAAAAGCAGCAGGCAAAACAGTTTGAGAGCTCGTGCTTTTCAGTTACATACATATATGAATACACAACTGCTGCATTGGGTGTTTCTTTGGTCCGCCTGTGGATATGCTACGCAAAGTCATTCTACAGCAGTCGCTAATTCCAAAAGCAGCGGGGAATAGGAATTCTATTTGATACAAAAATACATAGTACATATATTTTTATGGAAAAAATTATATAGGAAAAAACGCTTTATTTTGATTAAAATTTTATGCTATACTCTTTTTCATGGAATAGATCTCTTCAGCAGTGAATTTAAAATATAGCAATATTTTATAAAAAAAAAAAAAACTTTTCCTCACTATTGAATTTTTATGCATTAAATTTTATTTTATTTTATTAATATTGTGATTTCCTCCTTTTCCTTTCAGGTCATCTGCGGGGTGGGGCTCATGGTGTGGGTGATACAAAAAGCGCGCAAAGAATTGGCTGAAACCCTGCTCTCCGATCTTAGCAACGAAGAAAAACTAATCGAGATCGATGTGTGATTGTTGTGATGTGCGACGAGAAGAAGCACTGCTATTCATGTTTTCCTTTTAAGAACGAGAAGCGCTGTTATAAATTTTGAATGCTCAATCAACTCGAAAACTCGAAATCAAGGCTGGCTATTGCCAACTTAAGAGTATGCATAATAAACATACTTACATATGTATGTATATAGGACGTACCTGTAAGCTTCCTAGACATTTTCATGTAAAAAAAAAACGCCAAATGTTCACTAAACATACATATGTACATGAAAGACTATTTTATAAATATTTGCTCGCTTGTGTTTTTGTAATATACTATGTACGTAAACATTTATTTTTTCATTTGGAAATGCATTCATATACATACATACGTAAGAAGTAGTATACATCAAGAATTATTGTAGAAATTAAAAAAAAAATATATGTTAATAAATTTTGTATATTTACTTAAATAAATTACAAGCCAAATTAATGTAGTCTGTATATGAGAATATTTAATATACATACATATGGAGTATCTAAATACATTTGTTCAATTAAAATCCTGAATTTTCTTACAAGTTAAGCCTACATATTTATTTAACATTAAAGACAAGTATTAACACCCGAAATGTAATGTGTATTTTTAATTTTATATTTATAAAAATTTGGGTATACAAAAATATGCTTTCGAGATAACAAATAATAGCTCAGCTGTGACAGAGTAACATAAGCAACCTATTTTGTTTTGACCTCTTCGATTCTAAGATTAGTAATTCCGATCATTAGAAAAAAGGATGTTATTAAATTATACATATACATACATACATCTATGAAATTGCAGCTGTTTTTGTAATTAAAAATGCAGTAAAATGCTTCACGGTTGTTCAAAAATCTATTTAATACATAACAATATGATATTGCATTTCATTTTATATTATAAATTTAGTTTTTAAAATTATAGATATTTGTACATATGTATATACATACATACATGCGTATGAATGTGTGCGATATATCCTTCTTACATATTTGATTCCATTTTGTAATACTTTTTATACTGTAGTCGATGTTTTTGCGAAACCGCCCATCGACCAGTTTCAAAACCGCTTAAATCGCCATTGTGGCAAAAATGAGATTTGGTAACCCTGAACTCCAGGCATCAAGAGCTATGCATAAAAATCGTTATTAAAACAGATTTGTGAAATAATAGCTAGAGAAAATACCGCCTATCAGGGCAATGCCTTCAAAGAATAAACCGTTTTTCGCTCTCCTGTAAAATTTGAGTGCCGTAAGATAGGCGGTTTTGCAATTGTGCGATGGGCGGTTTTGCAGAAACATCGACGATATGTATGTATGCATATCTAAAAACTGTAAAACTCGCTTTTAAATTCTAATCCCTAGAAATGTTAAAAAAAAAGGTCTGAGTTTGAAAACCAAACTAAACTGCGACTATTTCTTACAAAATTTTTACACTAGTTAATCAGTTTTAATAGGCTTCTGACAGACTCTTCTTTGACACTCGCATTTTAAAAATTATGTATGTATGTACATACAGTCAGTGTCAAATGTAAATGTACACGTTGTTCTAGTCCAGGTGTATTTAACAAGATGTGTGCGACTCTATTTTAAGGTACTATAATGCCAAAAAATATAAATAAACGATTGACAATTCATAAAAAACAATCCAATTTGACTTTATAGGATGGTTCTTCTGAGAGCAATGTTAAATTCAATTTTAGTCATGATACATATATTTAAAGGTAAAACCGATCGCTCAATTCTTCGGCCATCATTTACTTTTTGAAGTTTGTCTACTTTATAAAATTGAAATTTTGAGAGCAACTCAAAGGCCAAATAACAGTAAAACAAAAAACAACAAATAGATGAACTTATTCAAATTTTCTTTTATTTGAGACTAATAATGAGAACGTATTTGTGAGATTGAAAATTTGAAAACATTTTGGTTATGTTAGCAAACTTCAAAAATGTTCAGGCTGCCTCCCAGTGGTTTTTCCTTGAAGTTTTTGTATCATGGTTCTAGTATAATATTCACAGTTACAGTAGAATCCGTTTATATGACCATACACGACCGCATATAACGACCGACCGCTTATAATGACGTAAACACAACCTAGAATTTGATTTTTATACAAATTACTATGAAAGTACATCCGCTTAATACGACTCCGCTTTAAGCGACGAAATTTATGAATAAATTGTCCGGTTAAATCGACGAAAGACTTAAAAATTTACAGAAAATTAGAAGCTTCGCACAACATATTGTTACATGTTATGCAGTGGCTGAACATTGAAGACGCCTAGTGTGGATAGCGGTTAGTCCACAGCAAATTTTGCATTCGAATTTTTTCGACAGACGTCAATTGCATTTTTGTTCGTCAAAAATACTTAAGTAATGTGCACTCGATAGTTGAAATGTCAGTTGGTTAATCACTACGTGCGCAAAAATGTTGTATAGCAGAAATATACAAAACAAAAAAAAATCAAATTCAAAAGAGCAGTTCTGCTTATACGACGTCCGGTTAGTACGGCATATTTTCACCGGTCCCTTGGAAGTCGTTATAACCGAATTCTACTGTATTTTTCATTAATTATTTATGAAAATATAGGTAATTCTATGACATAAACCATGAAGGTAAATAATAAAGTAAACAAAGTTTTTTCACACTTTTTAAGTTAAAACAAAAAAAAAACAAAAAATTGTCATCAAAATTTAAAAAACTTTGTTAAGGATTTCTAGAAAATTTTCGAGTATGCAGTTTTGTAGCCCGTTCAATAGCGCAAGTTTCAAGTCCCTGGAAATTACCGTTATTTTTTTAGATTTTTTTTGTGGAGGGTGTAAATTTTTATATGGAAGAAACGCTAAAATTCAACGGGCTACAAAACTACATACTCAAAAATTCTCTAGAAAATCTGAATAAAAATTTTGAATTTTTGATGAAAATTGTTTGAATTTTTGTGAACTTTATATAAAGTGTGAAACTTTGATTTATATGGTTTATGTTATAGAATGAATATTTTCATAAATATTAAATGAAAAAAATTGTTCATTAAAATTATTGTGAATATTATAATAGAACAAGGTGTACACTTACATACATTTGACTCTGACTGTATTTACATACATAAACTTCGAATGACTTATCGGCACGTTTTAGATACATAAATGGATGTATTCTTGTAAATCATACAATTATTTCATGTTCTATGCTATTGATACCCTTTTGTACAAAGTACAAGCTTTTCTCTAATAATTCAAACCAGACTCAACTTTCGAAATCAGTTTTTGTGCACCAAATTATTAACACATTTTTGAACTTTGTAAATATGATTATTTACGCATAGCTTAGCCCTTAAGCGAATAAGAAAAGTTGAGTACCAATAAAATATGTCCTTTTTATTGGAGTTTATACGGCATATGAAATTTTTGTAGGCTCTTTATACATGTATATAAATTTGAATAACTATTATAAGTAAGCTGTTTTATTAGGGGTGTATTTGGTACTCTTCTAAGCCGTTATTAGATTTATAAGTGATTTTTGTAATATACTACAGACATAGTATGTATGTACATACATACATACATACGTATATTCCATATACATATACAAATGTTAAAGGCCCTTGTTATTGACAATAGTCATTTATGCATAAAAAAACTATAACTACGTGTCATTTACTTTATACTTTAAACCAATCGATTCTAAGTTTTTTAGTTGAGAAAAATAAATGTGAAATCTTGTCAGCCTAATAAAAGAGTTTTTATCTATCAATCATCGCCCGGATGCATACAATTTATAACACCTTATATCAAAAATGAAAATGTGCTAAGTCCACTTTTTATGAAAACTCATACTCATTAAAAATGCATTGTTTCGAAAAGGATTAAGACACTTTTTCTATTTTTCTCGGTTATATGCAATGAAAGGAAAATTTGCTAAGTCCAAAAGAGACACCGAAAATCCGACCAAATCAAAATAATACGAAATCTTTTAATAAAGATCGAATCCTTCTTATTCGTATGCAGCTTTGCTTCGCTTTATGCATGCAAAATGTTGTATTCAAAGATTTGCAAAATATTTAAATAAAATGGCTAAGAGAAGTTTTTTCCTCTCTCTCTCTCTATTTTAGTTAATCTTGTCACAATTTATACAATAATTCATTGTTGTATTTTGTACAAAAATATGCACTAAATTTAAAACTAGATAGGAAATATATTGTTATCAAACACTTCAAATAAATTTAATACCTAAAATAGTTATGGCTGTATATTCTTAAAATTATACTCATTGTTTGAAATGCTCTTTATAAGCCTAATTTAAAAAAAAATCTCAGTTAATAATTTTCACTCGGGCACATTGTGCGACCAAAAAAGTAACAAATTGTGCACACCTTAGTTTTAATATAGCGTCTTATACATATTTCAAGACTGGACGAATATATATACTTATACTGTACATCCAACATGCGCCTGTTGCTTCGCGTCAGTTTTCGTAGATAGGCTGGTTGGTTACCATTCCCACTTGTGGTGCTATCCATTTCCTTTTCATACATTTCTACGCCAATTGCGTATTCTTTTATCCAAATGCTGCTTGCAAACAGTTGCTAAAACATTCAATGCCAAATCAACATCATCGTAGGTGACGCAGAGTGGTGGGCGTATGGAGAGTACCTAGGTGGGGTAGAGTAAAAAAATTATTAAATGAATTTTTTCAAGTGACTTTCGGCTACAATTTATTTCTAGGTGTACGAACGTGCTGTGTAAAATGGAGGGTAAAAGAGTTGATGAAATATATTTAGTAGCGACGAGTTTCCAAAAAGTTTTTGCTTGACAGGAATGGATGAAGGTAAACATTTTGGTGGTACTCTTAAGAGCTTAGAACTAATCAAAATAAGTTTCAATAGAATATCTGTCAAAAAATCTGCAACTAACTACTCAAAAATTTTGTTATGATTGATAGAAATATAAATCTTTTTTAATAAATATTATTTATAAAACGAGATATCTTTTTACACAAAAATTTTTAAATTTTCATAAGTAGCTCTGATCAAAAATTAAGGTTATAATCTTATTGAAGGTAACAAATATTTTAATTATGTTATAACTATTTGAGAAAAAAGAGCACTTGGAACAAGTTATTTGTTCCTTTCTTATTTGATACGAAATTTTAGTTAATATGACTTTTCGAAAGACGGCCAAAATATTCAAATAAATCATTCAACATTTTTTAATTCCTACTTTTTATTTCTATTGTATTTTTCTTTTGTTAATTTTTAATTAAAACTATTTTACTTTGGTCATACGTATAGCAATTTATATAATACTTTTTATTTATTCAGGAGTTTAATTGCATTTATTTGTTTTTGTTTTTTTTTTAATTTTATATTTATTTCTTTCATGTTTTCAGGCAGTTGGTTTTATTATGAATCGCTCAAACTATGGCGAATTCATATAAGATGGTGTTACCAGAGCAGCTCATTTCAAGGCGAATTGTGGATCAAACGTGCATATTATTTTATATTTCAAATAGTTTTGATTAGTTCTGATATGAATTTTCGCACTATTCTCTACATTGTTTTTGACGCTCTGATTGTTTAATTTTTTATTTTTTTTATAATTCTTTTAATTTATACTATATCATTAGTGCTGGTTACTAAAATTAGCGATTGTTTTCATACTCTCATCGCTGGAGCTAGCTAATTTTTAGTTGCTTCGTTTTTGTAAAACCCATAAACCTGTTTCAATATTGGGAATATTGAAAGCATCCAATCTGTAGCTATGAACATATAATTATATACAAACATATATCGGTAAGTACTGCACAAGTTTTGAATTTTTCAACAAATATTTCGAAAAAAATTTTATTTGCAAAACATATTTATAAAAAAAAATATATATATTTTCTCCACCATTTGAAACATACACGATTTTTATGCCTTACTAAAATAAAGATAATTTTTTTTTTTCAAAATCTTTATTTGATAAATATTTGTGACACATTACCAGTTAATACATAACTTATAAAATCTTAGCTATTATTGAAACCATAAAAATACGCTTAAATACTAAAAGTCATTAAGGGTAATCCCAAATTATTAAAAACTATAAAAGACACAAAAATACATTAAAAGCTATAAATGCATTTGAGTAGAGTATTTTTTGAGTGGGATCCCTATTAAAAAAAAAACACTTAGGTTTACAACAGGATCACCTCAAATTAGGCTTTGTAAAAAATTCTTAAATAGCTCAAAATTTTAGAAAGTAGTCGGATCCTCATATGGTTAACTTAATATAGAGCGGCCCTATCTAACAATTTTGTTTCTTTACACAGTAGTTATAAAGTTCTTCAGTTGCAATTTTCTGTTTTTAAATATCAATAAACACACATTTTTTGATGCAGTAGTTGATTTTAAATCCGATTTAGGCTTTAGTGAGTAATTTAGCGATTTTTGTGCAGAGCTGAATTTCAAACGAAAATCAATTAGGGCCTTGCTTCATTAAGGTAACGATATGTAGATTCTTTAGTCTATATTTAGGAGCACTTCGGGGTAGTATAAAGTAGGGTTGTTGCAAAAGCAACAACAAAAAGTTGTATAAAGCAAGTAAAGTAGGAACGATACACCATTTGTATGCAATTCTCGAAATTTCATGATTGCAAGCGAAACCAAATTTTGTAATTTAAATGGAAATTGAGGCAGGCGAGTAAAAAAATATCATTTAGTTTCGTGTTAAGTAACTATTATCAGTCATGTTAAGAAATAAAACCGGTGTCTACTGTTTTTTATTCATAACTTCTGCTATAGCGCACGCCAAAGTATCCACCGCAAATTTAACATCCTTTTTCGAAATGCACATTGGTGGCTTAATACGGAACACCTGAAAGAAAGAGTGAGAGCGGGGGAAAGAAAAAGTTGTGATGGGATAGAAAAAGGAGTGTGGTTAGTATGGACGATAATGTCTGTTACAATTGTGCTAATTCCAATTTATTAAAAAAAAAACAAAACGTGTAGCAAGCTAACATCAAAAATGCCCCTAGCTTAAGCTTTTGTAACCTATAATCTATACTCACATTGCCATTTAAACCGCCACGTCCGAAGAGCACACCCATATCCTTGCAGGTCTCCCAAATTTCCATTACATGTGGCGCGCTAAGTGGCGTCTTTGTTGCGCGATCTGATACCAATTCCACACCAATCATTAAGCCCTTACCGCGCACGTCACCTATAATCTCGTAGCGTTCACGCAACTCCGCCAAACTGTGCAGGAAGTAAGTGCCCACTTCCAAAGAATTCTTCTGCAGTTTTTCCTCTTCAATAACGTCCAACACCGAGATACCCACAGCGCTGGCCATTGGATTACCGCCATAGGTGTTGAAATGCAATGCCTGGCCCAGTGAGGCAGCTATCTTGGGCGTAGTTACCACAGCTGCCAGCGGAAAGCCATTACCGATGCCTATGTTTTAAGTATTTTTTTTTTTTTTTGGTTAAGTTCACTTGCGATAAGCTATGCAATATTGTATTCTTGACTCACCCTTTGCCATTGTTACGATATCCGGTATGAATTCGTGTCCCTCAAATCCCCAGAAATGCTCGCCGGTGCGGCCGAAACCAGTTTGCACCTCGTCGGCAACGAATAACCCGCCATTTGCGCGCACCAAATCAGCTGCTTTCTTTATGTATCCCTTCGGATATTGTACGGTGCCACCAACACCCTGTATGGACTCCGCAAACATGGCGGCCACACGTCCGCGTGGCAGAGAGTATTTGAAAACTTCCTCCAGCTGTTCATAATACCGCGCACCAGCCACGCAGCCAGTCTCCTGCGTGCAGTCGCACTTCCGATCCGTTTGTATGGGCGAATCACGACATGCCGCGCCACCCCAAATGCCTGTGTAGGGGTCAGGATTCATAACGTGATGTATGCCATTGCTGGTGCCGGGCAGCGGAAAACGCCAGGTTGAGAGCGCGGTAAGACCCATGGTGTAGGGTGACATGCCATGGTAGGCATTACGGAATGTAATAATATCCTGGTTGCCTGTGTGCATGCGCGCCATCAGCATAGCAAGATCATTGGCTTCTGATCCCGAGTTAACAAAGCATACGGCCTTCAGTTCGCCGGGAAATTTGGCTGTCAAGCGTTCGGCGTATTCGTGAATTTTTGGGTGTAGGTAAATGTTTGTCGTGTGCCATAGTGTGTTGATCTGTTCCTCAAGGGCACGGTTCACTTTGCTGTTTGGGTAAAGTAAGAACTACAAAAGAAAATAGTTAAGTTTTACAGCTTTGACTTACGGATGGCAATGTCCCACGGAAACTGTAACAATACCGCCAAACATATCCAGATAGCGGCGACCTTCATGATCGAACAGCCATTGCATGTGCCCGTTGTGTATCAGGAGAGGCTTCTTGAAATGCGGCACAATGTTTGGTGTTATATGTTTTTGCCGTATCTCCATGACTTTCTCATAACTTGGACCCGTGTAAGTTGGTGGTTGGTAGTCGGAATCGGGCATTTCGCTTTGTATGTCTGGCATCACAGCCGGTGAGGCTTTCGAATGCAGTGTTGAGCTGGCCCGTTGTTGGAGGCCTTGATGCAGCAAACGTGCCGTTAGGACTGCAAAAAAAAGGAATGGTATTGAGGTTAAATAGTGCGTTTTTGGAATAATAAAATGTGATAAACTAAGACAATCGCCGACCGGTCTGGCGCTTACACATTTGGCTACGTGTTTTCGAGCATTATGATGGAGACTGCGGTTTTGTGACCGTTTTAAATCTTTTATGATCCAAAAAAATTAAATCAGAAAAAAAAACGGTGATAATATGACCGAAAAACTAAAAATAGAAAATAATGATAAAAAAATCAAAATAACGATTATTCTTGATCGAAAATATAAAAATCATAAAATAACGGTTAAATTGGATCGGAAAATTCAAAATCTAATTTGAACGGTTAATTTATGAAATTTATTATAAAGATCATGCGTCCACTTCTTCCGGAACAAAAGTCCAGTTTTTAAAAGTGCGACTAAAATATGTATGATTTTGTGAGCCGAATCTTCTATCAATTCAATTCATTTCAAGAACAAATGCTTTTATAAACTTTTATAATAACAGAAGAAATACATAATCAAATAACTAAATAACATAACCTCATTCAAGAATCGTCCAAAAACGGCCGATGCCGATTCTTTTGGCCTAAACTGACCCCGGCATCGGCCGATTAATCGGTCGGACTCTACTGCTAAGTGCTTTTCGGAATTCACCACATACCTTCTAGTTTACAAAACACATTACTTTAACATGCTCAAGCCATTAGAGGTAAGCGAGATATTGTAAAAATGCTTTCCCACTACATTACTTGAAAAAGTTTTTGCTGGGTGGTTGAGTAACTCAAATCTTGACCTAGCCCGCTCAAACAATTTAAATTTCTCTTGCGAACATTTACAACTAATAAATGTGAATTGAGGTAGTCACGTGCCACTTGAGCTTTTTTTATAAGCATTTTATGTAACTAAATATATGTGTGTGTACATAAACGTATGTCTGTTTGTGCGTATTGTTTACAATTTCTATTCTTTTAGCGTTACCGATTTGCATCAACGCCTACGATGCTGATTGTATTATTTTACTTTACATACAGTGGAAAAACTTGAAATTACACTTTCACATAGGGTGCATCACTCTCCATAAAAAAAAAATTGTTACTATTTTCCCATCAGATTTATAAAATGTATTATATTTTAAGATTTTTGCCAGAATATTTCGGAAAAATATTAGGATTTATTTACGTCATCTGGACCGATTTGAAAATACCCCGAAAAATCTCATTATTTGAATTCCGTTGATATAATGTCCAAACATATTTATGGAGACCTTTTGAGCTCTTCCAACATATGAGGTGGTTTTTTGGAAAAAAATATTTTTAAAACACTACTTTTATTTATAAAAAAATTGATTTTTGGAGTGAGGCGCCCTAATTTACATACAGACATATTTAGCTTCATAAATGTATTGAAATATTTATTTACATGCTCGCATTGCATTCATTGTATAACGTGTAGCCAATTAATCCTCTATCACCAGGGCCGGCTATAGGGCGGAGCGAGCGGGCGGTCCCCCTTGGCGTCGAATTCGGGGGGCGCAAAATTTTTAAGTGGCGTTTAAGTTTTTTATTGCATAAAAATTGCAAATGTGAAAATCTGCAATTCATAGATATCTTATCGTTCTGCTAAGACTTACTCGGCTTAAATAAACTTCTATTCAGTAAATCAAATTCAGAAAATTGAAACTCGCTGCAAGATCATTATATTATTAGACATGCCCACGCCATAAAACGTTAGTTAGCCAGTACTTTACAACAACAAAAAAACATCCAGCTCGCGAAAGAGCTGGTTATGAATTTGCAGTTAATGTTTGTAGTAGGCTTAGATTTTTAAAATTTTCGCTAATCCACATCGAAGTCAATGATCGGACTTCATAAAAAATGTGTGCGGTAGAATCTGGAAATAAATGTAGATTTCAAAAAAATGTGGTTAATCTCAGGTTTTGGATCAAACTTTGTACAAAAATTCAAAAAAAATCTGCAAGGTTTAACCTAAATTGCAAACATTTTAATTAGAATTTAAAACAAAATTAATTGTAGTATAATAAAGTGCAAGATTTAAGTTGCTAAAAATTGGGCTGAGTTTCGGCAATTTTTGTTCTTCTCAAGAAAAAGTAAACAACGCTCTGGAAACTTAAGTTACACTGAAATTTGCTAATACTTTCACAAAAATCGCCGATTTTTATAATTTTCGCTATTAATTCTTTTTATAAATCACGTATTTTACAATTTAATACAACAAAAGCACGTGACCTTTTGAAAAATTGAATATTGAGAAAATTTACTATTTTACAGTTTATTTTATCCTCGCATTCCGTCTGTTGTTAGTGTTTAGTGTTTGACAATTTTTGGGGGAGAGGGGGGTGAGTAAGTTATGTGACATTTGGTATTTGTGACTTTTAGTTTTCCCTCTCTAAGCCCAACTGGTTTTTTTTTATATCAACTGTCACCATGACATTTTTCTACCTACCTCCATATAGTCGAGACACTGTGCGTCGTTGCTTTTAAAGCCGGCCCTGTCTATCACTAATACTAACAGTGAATAGTCGCCACAAAGCCATTGCGCTGTTCATCATCATGGACTTGCAATAATCTGCACTCAAATGCACTCAATTAACGTACATACATACATACATATGTACATATGTATGCACTTGAGAAATTAATTGTAGTAAATTGTAATTGTAAGTATAGAACACGTGATCTTCTCTCTGGAGAGGTGTATCCTGTACTCAGTGTGCTTATAAAGAAAATTCGTTATCAATATTTATTTAAATTAATTTTATAAATTTTTTATTTCTCAATTAAACGCTTGCTATTTACATACATACATACATACATACATACATAGATAGATAGTTGTCCATTCGTAGCACAAAATGCACTTAAATGAAGCATAGAAATCTATTAAAAACCTGACATTATGTGAACATATGTACATACATATATACATAAATATGCAAGCTGATAAGGCAGCATATTCCGAATCAAGTTCAGTACGCAATACCAATGACAATGTTTGATGACTTTATGATCTATAAATTAGATCTTTTGCTATCAATAATTACTTTTTTCCACATACCCGCAATTATTAGTTTTGAGAAGTGAGCATTTCTATGTAGTAGATACTGATAAGAGCAATACAATTATTTGAACTTCGTGCAATGCTTATCTACTATTGATTTAGTAGTAATTTTTTGACAGATACTTAATATTTTATCTTATCTACTGTGAAGTGTGTGTGCCTAGGATATTCAAAATGATATTATGTATCTCAGTAATTTCAAGCTTCATTAGTAATCATCTAATCAACAGCCACCCGCGTAGCCGATGGGAAATGAGTTACGTACGTCTATTACGACTGCCCAGATGAGCTACAAATATTGAATTAAGGTTTCAGTTAAAGTTTGCTCGATTTGAAAAATTCGGACATAATTTGGTAGAATAATAGAATCTCTCCAGGCAGTATTTCCATATTGTGATGTGGGCAGGACCAAATGGATAAAATGTTCTTTTATTTTCTGTCGGTTAATGCTTCTTCATTAGAGATAGATAGATTGATAGTAAAAAGAGGCATGCACTGCGTCCTAACAGATTTATTGTGACATAATCCTACAGCCCCCAAAAAGTTGAGAAGACCTTTCGGAGGTAGTGAGTGTATGTGCTAGGAATTTTAATGCCTGGAGTTTGCACTGATGGCAATAATATAATCTCCTTTTCTTGATCAGTATTGGCTATACATATTTATATTTTTTTATTTAATAATGAATATTTTTTCGTAAATGTCTAGCTCATTATATTATATTATAATTTTACACACAAAATATGAAACCATGGGCCAAATATTGTAAAATTCCGTTTTGTGGTTTTCACCTTGACGTAAGTAATTCCAAAATTATTTAAAAAAATTCAGTGAAATGTGCTTAGGGAAGAAGTATGGGTATCAAGTGGGTGGTTTTGAAAAAAGCAACAGCTGTGTCATCAAATGTTCATTTTAAATTTTCATATCATTTGTTAATATTTTAAGATTATAAAAGTATTCAGCGCAGATGCATAGACCTGCAGAGGCTCGTGTAGTATTCCATAACGTAATCTAAGCTCTGTATTTTCTACAGTTGTTTTCATGTTTATTTTTTGGTTTATCTAATTTTCTAATTCATAACGTTTCTAGGCACAAGTATAATAAAGTATTTTAGTTTAATAAAGGCAAGTTTGAAGTAGCTGGGACTTATCGTTGATTTTTGGCAATTTTTTGTTCACGCATTTTCTTCCATACAAAGTATGTTCGAGATTTTTGCTTTTGGTATTGAAGAAAATAATACCAAAATCCGCAAAAAATTATCAAAAGTCAACGCGAATTCTTAGCCACTTAAAACTGGCACTTTTCCAGCTAGAAACTAATGGGCTATACAACTGCATACCTGTTTTTTTCTAAAAAAAAATCTTAGTAAAAAGTTTCTTGTTGTTAAATTTTATTGAATTTTTCTAATTATTCTACAAAGTTTTAAATATGGATTTATATAGTTTCTCTAAGATAGGGAGTGGTATTAACATTAACATTAAACAAACAAAAGAAATATAGCCAAAGCTGGTCAAAATGTCGTGTCCCTATTATTTTTCACATGACTGTATGTGGGCGTGTCCAAGCCCGTCCACTTTTACATATTATAGTTTTTCCTCTTAACAGAACTCACGATGAAAATTTTATCCCGATATGTCCATTAAAAGTATTTTTGCCCGCCCTCCCCACAGGTATAAATGCAACCATTGGACATTCGTCGATTTGACGTGGACTGACCCATATGTATGCATGCAGTTCAAAATTTTGCAAAACAAAAACTTTCTATTAAATATTTTTTGCTATTTACTATAAAAAAATTAATGCCATGAAGCAACATTGAGTCCAAGTCGCCTAATGCCATATGTAGAGTACCAAATCTGCATATGCTGTCACTCACTCTATCGCACAAAATATGTTACAATACACACATAGATATGTATATATGTATGTAACTATGTACGTTTTATTAATAAAAATTGTTTCATTAATTTTTGTGTACATACATACCTATGTACATATCCATATGTAAGTATGTATGTATATGATAAGAAACTGTACCGGTTACTGTTGTTGTAGCTCTAGGCGTTTAATTTACTATTTATAGCCGATCAGCTTGTTTTCAAATTACAGAATTGTTGATGTTAGCGTTTTGGTAGATTGTATTTCCTTTTTTTTTTGTTTTTTACTTGGAAGCTAAGATTATATTAATTACGTTCTGGTTGTAAAATGCTTAAAATTTGAATAATTATTGCTTTTACATATTTATTATTTAAATTCGATAAGTTTGCGTCCCACGTTATTTTAATTGTTAATCGTAAAAAAAAATATACAATCAAAGCAATTCGTTCGTTGTTATGCATATTTTAAAGCAGTTTTCTCTCAATAATATCGCTTGTATAACTAGCGATAGTCAGATATACACGCAGATCATTTCCGGGTGAATTTCAACCCCTGCCAATTTGAATTCAAAGTGACTTTGGGTTAAATTAACTCGGAAGTGAATTGCAGAACCTGCCTGATAGATAAAAAGGCAATATTTTTTACAGCCATGTAGCTGAAAGTGTACAAAGGTTGGTTAAGAAATTTAAATTCCGCATTAATGCCGTATTTCCACTAGAAATTTAAATACCTAAAAACAAAAGAAATCTCCATATAAATATGTCATGGGATAGACGAAATAAACACAGGGGTATTTCTATGCTCGAATTTGTACTTAATTTTTCATTCCAATGCCTAGTGGAAACACGGCCTAATTCGGGTATTTCTTAATAACTTAGTATATCTTAATAACTTAATAATAACTTTCGTCCCTATTTTTTTATTAAGAAAAAAGTTACCTAATAATCTTATCTTAGTTTTAAATTAATAAAAAATTAGTTTTAATAGACAACTGATCAGTTCTTACTTTAAATTTGGAAAACTTTAATACATAATATAGTTACATACATATAAAAATATTAAAAAAATATTTTTGTGCATTAACTCACCTAAAGCGTTCTTAGACATCATTTTTCTTGCTATTATCAATAAGTAGGTATCTATAAATATGTATATTGTACACCCGACTCGGCGGGAAAATTATTGGAAATGGGCTTTATAAAACACTGTTGGTTTTCCGCCGTTTAAATGCCTTTTGCGCGCTGCACTTTTCAATTTATGTAGATTTATAAAAGTTCAATGAATTCTGCTCAAGTTCGCTTTTTAATTAATTTCCAACATTACATAAACTTTTTTGTTTGTTTGTAGTTACTTCATTAAAAAAACGCATCTGCATATGAACTTTCGAGTGAGTCGCCAACACAAGCAGTTCAACACCACTGCACTGAAAAGGAAACCAGCAAACACAAAAACAAAAGTACTTTATAGTAATCCAATAAACTAAGCACCAGTGAACTGCTTCAAATGGTGTCAACAACGCTACTAAATTTTTGATACAACTGAAAGCCACTTGGAAGCGAGGTGCGCACATACCAGAGACGCGCGCGCCACGCCACTAGCTGAGCGCGTCCAGCCAACAACAAAAGTTGGCTGCGGCGGCGCCAAGCCGCACCTATTTCGGCAGATTTGATGCTAGGAGCGCGCGGCTAGTGTGAAGTCTATAAACTGCAGTAGCAATCAGAACTAGCAATTGATAAAATATATATACATACATATGTATACATTTACATGCCTACGCATTTGAATGTAGTCACATATGTATGAGAGTTTGTATGTATATATGCGCACTTTTAGGCGCAGAAGCGTTCCTTTGTTGAATGTATTGACGCTTTGCTTCTTCTGAAGGTGTCTTCTGTTTGCCGGCGTTGGTTATGCTTACTAGCGTTGACTTGTTGGTCGCGCGCGCGTCGCACCGCATGCGGAAAAAAATTTATGAGGCGCCCAACTTGATCAGACACACGATCTGTGTGTGGTGAATGTATGTATGTACATTAGTGTGGGTCCAAAAATGTATGTGAAAAAGTAAATTGGGAATTTTTATGCTCTCATCATCTAAAACAACTTTTCATAGCAGGGACCGAAAAAAATCAGCTTATACAAATTAAACAAATTCGGATCAAATGAAAGAAGACTGAAATAGCTTCTAAACCAAAATAGCGAACGAAGATTACCACCTGTATTTATATGTAGTATGTATTTTTTTATTTAGTACAAAAGAAATTCATATACCAGACCCAAGGTTTGTAAATATTTTTCAATGGGTGGCTTTCCTCGTTTGGACATTTCAATTATAAATATGTTTTAGTCCTCTTTCATCTAATACCAAACTTGTTTAATTTGGATAAGTGGGTGGTTTATCATCCGGAAAGGACTTTTATTTCGGGCTTGAAAAATATTTGGTCAAGTTTAACTATCAAACAAAATAACTGTTATTTTTGGCCCCTGTTTCGTAGAAATGCTATGGAATTCTGGAAAGTCAATATTTTTCGATCGGAGAAATCTGTTTGTCTTCAGGAGATTCCAAATAATAATATCCAATTGGTTATTTAACCATTTTTAGTATTAAAAAATGGTTAAACAAACCATTGGGTATTATTATTCCCGATCGAAAACTATTGATTTTCAAGATTTCTATGAAAAGTGGTATTTTCCCCATATAAAATACATGGAAAACTTTGAGCGCTTTGAGTGACCCCTTAATATTTTTTTAGTTTCAAAATAAAAAAGGGATATATTTTCTTCGGTATAGAAAAATCCTAGGGGCGCCATTAAAACTCCGACTCTACCTTTACTTTTTTTTGGACGAGCCTAATGTACATATTAGAATTGCGCAGTGGTCGCGTGCATGCAGCACGCTCTCACACTCGTGCGCCGAACAGGGTATCTGTGATAACAGAAATCAAATGTGCGCACATATAGGAGAATATATGTATGGAAAGTAAATATGGAAAGTGGAGGTACTTATACATAACTAATTTGTGGTTCTGCCCTTTGAAATGTGGAAAGTGAAAACGAAAACGAAGACAATTCAGAGGTAAGTGGCATTTGCTGTATTTTATATTATTTGCATAAATATATTAGGGTGCTCCACACTTCATTTAACAAAAATTAGTAGGCGCTGCTCGGATATATGAAAAGACGTAATTTGGCCAAAGTCTGAGGTACGTCTCTTAAAACATTGGGCCTTATGCATAAAAAGTGAGCTTAAGCTCAGACTAAATTTTTGCACTGAAAGGGTGAGCTCAAGCTCAAGAATTTGTACTGAAAAACGAGTCGGAGCTTAAGCTCACTTTTTATGCATGAGGCCCATTACCTGCCCCTGATGCACAGTTTCACGTTGAGCTTTCTTATTGCATACTCTTAGGCGCCTTTGTTACCCATTTAGCGATTTTTAGCAATAACCGTAACGGTTATGATCTTTATTACAAAAATCATAATTAAAATTGGATTTTTATTTTAGAGATACAATTTTAGTTTTTATGATCTTTATTTTTCGGCCAAGAATAATCGTTTTTTATAACTTTTTTTTTATAAAAAATAATCGATATTTTCTGACTTTTATTTTTTCCATCATATTATAACCGTTATTTTCCGATTTAATTTTTTAGGTCATAAAAGATTTAAAACTACCATAGACACGCAATCCTCATCATAACGGTTGAGTGTTTGAAAAAATATAAATGCGAAAAAACTATTTTTTTCTTTATGGAAAAAAATCAATATTTAACGATTGTTCTTGATCGAAAAAAAATTAAAAACCAAATTTTAACGATTATCCGTGATCAAAAAAATAAAACTAAAAAAATAACGACTATAATATTTAAACGGCAATGTATGATCCGTAAATAGATTTTTGAAGCTCATCAGCAATCTATACTTAAATAAGGCATCTGAAATTGGGCCTAAGGCAGTCTGCACACGGATCGTATGGCTTTAGGCGCGTATTAGATGCTACATACGAAAGTTGTACGCTTTGATGCCGCAAACGTAGGTTTAAATGAAGAGCAGCGACAAAAACAAAACAATTTCAAAACATACTAAAGAATCGATATACTCACGAGACTATTGGGTCTGACGTCAGGATTTTTTTTCAAAGGACTTTGAAATTTTTACAGATAAGATTAATTCAAAAAAGTATTTTAAAAAATCAGTGCAATATAGAATAACAATATGGGTACCAAAGAGAGAGAGAAAATTCTGTAGAATTTAAGGACAGTAAAGGTTTTGGGTTTACAAGGACGAATAGGTACTGAAATGCGCTTATAATAAATTTTATCTTTTTAAATTAATAAAGTTTGCAGGACGAAATTCGATGATGAGGTCGTGCATATATTAGTCCTCAAACAATAATTAAAAATAAATAAATATTGCAAACTTTTAAAAGATATTTTCCGTACCGATTCGTCCTTATGCGCCAAAAAATGAATTCTACAGAATTTTTACTATTATATGATACCCATATTGTTATTCTCACATATGTTATACTACCCTATTGGCAGTAAGAGCTAGTACCGTTCGAAAACATTACAGTACAGATATATCGATAAACACGTACGAAAGAAAAGGACACATATGTATGTTTATAAATAAACATATACACAACACATACACAAAAAACGCCACTCACGCACACAATACATTCACAAAAACGATACTAGACTATCTCGCTTTGATTTCGGAATGCTTATAGGCAACGCAGATGGTGCGTCTGACTCGCGAGTCAACTGTGTACGTGTGGACTCGCCTTTCCACTACACGCAGTTGAGTCATCCAGAGTCATACAAGACTCATGTCGGTGTAACTAACACACATTTATTTTTACTAACACATCCAAACCGACTCACGAGTCAGACGCACAGTGTATGCCGCCTATTACACATTGAGAAGTTAGCTTACTGCCAATATAGAAGTATTACATATATTATATTATTATAAATTGCACTGAATTTAAAAAAATTTTTTTTTTGAAATAATGATATTTTTAAAATTTCTAAGTCCTTTAAAAAAATCCTGACGTCAGAGAGAACTAAGTACGCAGTTTTACTACAATTTACCCATAGTTTCGCGAATATATTAATTTTTTTGTGCGTAAAATTTACTGTCGCACGGTGTAATAATTTTTCATCACTTAAAAATTTTGCGCCTGATACTTTGACGCTTTGAAGTCGCTTCATGTGCAGATCTTGAGGCGTAGAGAAATGTTCGCTGCATAAAAAATTTAATACGCGTCTAATGCTATACGACCCGCGTGCAGACTGCCTAAGTGTGCTACGCGAATCTCATTGCAGAACCTCAATTTCTTTTCAAGAAGAGTAAGAGGAAAGTCACTTCTAAAAAATTGCATATATTCACTTCAATTAAATCTCTTATCTAAAATCATATTTGGCAACGAATGGTTTAGGACTCCTTTCCAGCTTTTACACTAGAATATTTTTTTATTTATACGCACCCTATACGCAGCTACGCATGAATATAAGGGGCGTTCCATACTAAAATGGACGGGGTTCACATTTCATGTGTTTGATTTGTTTGAACTTTTTAGGGTTGATAGATAAATCAAATAAATACTAAATAAAAATTAAATTTGAGCTTGACCAATACATTTTTAAAAACTTTACAGCACAAAAAAAAAAACAAATCGATCTAATAGTTTTCCAAATATCTCGAGAACGGGAAGAGGAAACAATTTGAAAAAAGCACACATACTACATACATCAGCTATTAAATCGATTTGTTTTTGTCTTTGCGCATTTTCATATGACCACTCATTATTTCTTATTTTCTTCAGTAGTAAATTGATTTTTGTTTGTGACAGAAAAGGCTTTAGCACAGATGCAAAAATTAATTGGTCAGAAACTATCAGTCCTATCGGAGAATGATGTATATATGGTTTATGGAGAGTTTCATTAGCTTTCCTTTTAAGATTGATTCGTAATTGATGTTAAATTGATTCGTAAGATATACGTGATTAAGTGGAACCACTTTTTGTTTTGAGCTGAATAACGGTAAATTGAAAATATCTCGAAAACGTATCCATAGAAAAAAAATTTGCTCGATTTTCGGAATCACCGGGCAATTCTACATACAAATTGGATAGTGACGTCTGGAGAACAAAAACCAAACTAAAATTTGTGATCCAGTGAAGTGTGAACGCCGTCCATTTTGGTATGGAACGCCCCATAAATAAATGCATGCGATGGCTACTTGCAATCTATGTTTAGCTCATATCTACTCTACATACATAAATATTTGTATCACAAAACCAAAGAAAGATAAACAAATTGAATCCAACTTGATTCGTAGTACTAGTTTCAATTGCATTTGTTATTACAGCTGCATCAGCAACTTGGCGCGGCGCTTCCCATCTCTCCCCCGCACTCTTACAACACCCTCCGCAGTCTGATGCAAATACGAAACCAGTT